CCCATCTTTGTCTCTTCAAAAAAATTTTTCTTATAAAAGTCTCATTTCATTAGTATTCAGAACTCCATGCACTAGCTGGTAGGAATTTCCATTCCCATTTCATAGAGATAAGTGACAAAAGCATGCCCAAGGTCACAAAGCTAGTAATTGTACTAGAGCCAGGGCAACATAAAGTCTGCATTAGTAAACTCACCTAAAAAAAAGAGGTAGACCAGTAAGTCCATCTAAAAGAAAGAGGTAGACCAGTTGGTAGACTGAAGTGAACCTGTTGTCTCTAACTGGCATCTCATTTATTCCTACGCACCTTGTTCCTTGGTTCAAAAACTTTTTTGCATCTTCTTTTCTGTTTTAAGGTTTATACATTCTTTAAAAAAAATTCTTATTTAAGTTAAAAACAATCTTATTTTACATACCAATCCCAGTTCCCTCTCCCTCCCATCCTTCCATTTCCCCCACATTCTTTTATTATTATTCAAAACTTTAAACTTTGTGTGCGTGGTATACATGATACACATATGTGTGTGTATACATCTATGCATGTGTGAGGCTTCACCTGGCTTTTATGTGGATGTGGGGGATTTGAACTCAGGTCCTCATGCTTGCACAGCAAGCCCTCTACACACTAAGCCAACTTCTCAGCCTTTCTTCCCATATGTTCTAACAAACATGGTTTCAAATTCACTTCAGAATCTGGGTTCCTGCCTCCTTTGTCTCCACAGCAATCCTGAGGTCCTCTTGTAGCAATGGGCTTGGCTGTCTGCTGAGTACCTTGGACATAAATCTAGCCATTTGCTAAGTGACGCTTTATTCTCCTCTGCAACTGAGCCTGTCAGATATGGTAGATAAAGGATGCCCTGAAAGACGGCTGCATCCTTATCCTGAGAACCTGTGGCTATGTGACTGACATAGCAAAGAGACCTGGGCACATATGCCTACAGATTCTGAGATGAGAAGATTATTCTGGGTTACTAGATGGGTCCAGAATAATCAATTAGGGTTCCTAAAAACAGAAGAGGGAGGCAGGGGAGTCAGAAAAAGAGCTGTGATGGAGAAGCAGGGGCTGGAGAGGGTGTGCTTGCTGACAGCTGGGGAAAAGGTGGAAGGCACAAGAGCAAGGAATAAAGGCAGCTCTTAGAAACTGGAGGAACCAAACAAATGAGTTCCTCTAGAGCCTCTAGAGCAGGGGTTCTCACCTTCCTAATGCTGCGACCCTTTAATCCAGTTCCTCGTGTTGTGGTGACCCCCACCACAAAATTATTTTCATTGCTACTTCATAACTACAATTTTCCTACTGTTATGAATCATAATGCAAATATTTTTGGAGGTAGAGTTTTGCCAAGGGGGTCAAGGCCCACAGGTTGACTAGGGACTATGGCTCTGGTTTGTGCCATCATTTTATTTCAAGACCCTTTTTGGGCTTCTGACCTCTATAACTGTAAGATAATATATTTTTCTTGTTTTAAGCTACTGAATTTGTTGCAACAGCAATAGAAAGTTGGGCTGTTGATGTAGCTCGGTTGGAAGAATGCTTGCCTAACATGCATGAGGTCCTGGGTTCAATTAGTTAGTTCATTAGTCAACAGTCCCCACGTCCATTAGTTCATTAGTTCACTAAGTTGAAAGGTAAGGAATGTGAAGTTGTCACCTCTCTTTTCCTATGCTACTGATGACAAGGCAGGCTGGGTCTTGGCGCTGGTTCCTCATTGAAGGGACTCTGGGGTTAGAGCTTAGACTCAGGAGAAAATACATTAGACACCAGGGGCCTTGATTCAAACTGCTAACGTCAGCTGCATTTATCTACTACAGCTGCCAACAGAAGCTTTGCACCCCTTCAGAGAATTAATACAGAAACCGGGCTGGGGAAGTGGCTCAGTGGCTAAGAGAGCTACTCCACTCTTGCAAAGGACCTCAGTTCAAGTCCCAGTACCCGTTATCAGGCAGCTCACAGCTGCCTCTAACTCCATTTGATACTTTGACATCTCTCTGACCTCCTTGCATGCATGCACAGACACTTGCATACAAATAAACAATAATATTTAACACATAAACTGTGTCCCATCTTTAAACACTCTGGGTCAGAAACCTGAAGGGAATGATTGAATCCTGAGCCTTAGACTCCAACCAATTTAAATAGTTTATGTATGCTGCATCTGATTATGCAAAGTAGAGGGCAGATTAGCATGACCGTTGGAGACACCTGCTTGCTCTGATTTTCATTGGTAAGTTCATCTTCCCTGCTACTAAGACATTCCTTAGCAGCCTGGTATTAGAACTTGTGGTATTAGAACTTAGTTCTTTGGAATTCCAGTGTAGACAGAAGACCTGCTGAGACATCCAGACTCATGGATGGAACAACTGCCAGATTGACAGGCATTTTTAGCTGTCGTAGTGACCTACAATATATGGGTTTCATATGACACTTGTTAATGTGTCACCTCAGGTGCCACCTGCACCACCTGTCTCTGGTCAGGCTACTGGTTCCATCTCAGCTGGGTTGACTCCTTCTAGGTGGACTCCAGTCAGGTTCTCTCCTTGCAGAACTGTTAGTCACTCACACATGTGCACATTACAAGTGCAGGTGGCTAATGTCTCCCGGCTCCCCCTTTAGTTTGGGGAAACAGGAACCAGGAGTTAAAGTCTGACTCCCCTGTCTGGAAGCGGGTCTTGAGACAGGTGTTCTGCACTCATGAGTCCTTCCAAAGGAGGCATCTAGAGGCCGTGTGCTCCTGTGTGACTGTGAATCCATCCTCACTGCCTGGGACCTCTCTCCTCTCCTTCTGCTTCTCACTCCTGACTAAAGAGGTAGCTTGTAAACATTTACTTTCCAAGGAACCTAGGCTGAACCTATGATCTAGCTGGGGTTAAATACAAGAACTTTAGATCCTATTAGATGTTCAGCCTGCTTATCACCTGCCCCCACCCCACAACACTGAGCTATTCATTTTGGTGTCCCCAACACCGAGTTTCTGATTTTCGTAGTAACTCAGTCTTCTTACTCTTCTCTATAAGATGAATCCCATTGGAGGATGCCCTTCTTAGTGGAGGATGCCCTTCTTGTCCAAGGATACCCTCCTTGGCAGAGGATGCCTTTCTTGTTGGACTTCCTGTCCAAGATGCCCTTCCTGAGTCTTCTGTATATTAGTTCTGGCCTTGGTATCATTTTATTCAAGCTCTGTGGATAATCAGGCTCACTGCCTTCTTCTTCTGAGTGGTAGCTCTTTTAGCCTTGTGTGCAGAATTCAAAACAGCAAAAGTAGATGCAGGCAAGTCTTCTGTGCTGGGCAAAAAAAAAAAAAAAGGTTCCAAAGATGCCTATGTCCTGTTTTTCAGGCCCTGCCAGTATCTCCTCACTTTAAAATAAATGCATTTGCAAATGTGATTAAATCAAGGCTCCAGAGCTAGGGCTCACTTTAGGTTATCTTGGGCCTCAGTATAATCGAACGCCTCCTTAGATGATAAAAATGAAGACAGACTTCACACGTCCCCAGAAGGCAATGCATGGTAGCTGTGACCTGTGGTGTTGGCTTTGAATTGTAGTGATGTGTTCACAGATCCAGGAATGCTGGCAACTGACAAAGCTAGAGAAGGCACAAAACAAATTCCGCCAGAGCTTGTGGGGGCGTTAAGTTTTGTTTCTTGGCCTTGGTTTTTGACTCAGTAAGACTGATTTGAGATTTCTGTACTCCAAAGCCATGGGAAAAAAAAAAAAGTACTTCTGCTGTTTTAAAGGTATCTGATCTGTGTGATGAATTGCAGTGGCCACAGGAAACTTCATGAATAAAGTTCTTCTTTAAAAGGACCTTCATATATGACAGCTGAGACCAGAGGACTACATGTTCAAGGCTAGCCTGGGCTACAGAGTGAGTACCAGGCTAGCCTAAAACCACATTAAGATCCTGTCAACAAAACAAAAACAAAACAGGTCCCCAGGGATCACTGCCTTTGGCTTTACATGAATAATTGGCTTCATTTCACCATCCCCTGCCTCAGTTTCCTAAGTGCTGTTAATAAACCATGCCCAGCTTAGCCTGCCCTTTATGTACTTTGTTTCATGTGTATTTGCCTGCATGTATGGCTGTATACCACATTCTCTGGGGGCTAGGAGAGAGTTTCTCCTAGAATTGGAGTCACAGAGTTAATCCCTAGTCCTTGAGAAGGGCAAGAAGTGTTCTGAACTACTGAACAACCTCTCCAGCCTGTGTCCTTTAAATACATCTTAAATTTTATGTGAATATGTGTGCCTAAATGAGGTTATATGCACTGCATGCATGCTCGTGTGTGATGTAAATCAGAGCACACCTGTGGAGGTCAGAGGACAACTTGTAAGAATAGGTTCTCCCCTTCTACCATATGGATTCTGGGACTAGCACTCAGGTGGCCAGGCTTGGCAGCAAGTGCCCTTCCTGGGTCATCTTGCTAGCCCTTTATGTGGTGTTTCTATTCCCACGTTTTTTCCAACCCAAAGTCTGCATTCTGTAAAAGCGTCTAAAGATGCTTGGACATTTGTTCTTTAAGCACAGGTAGGTATTGTTTGCAAACATCACACATGAGATCTTGTTTTCCAGAAGGGAAGGTTTTAAGCTGACCCCTCAGGCCCTTCTCAGCCCTCACCTACTCTAAGCTTTTCCCGTCTAGCATACAAGTGCTTTATAAAATGTGTTCACAGCACGTCCGACGCTGAATCCTGGGTGGCACTTGTTAAAGATGTGAAGCCCATGCCGCGGGCAAGGTCAGCACAGCCTCTCAGGAGAATGTGCGGAAGAGTCTAAAGAGACCCAGTAGCCCATCCCTCCATGCTCAGTGGTGGAACTGGAGCCTGGGCCAGGAGCTGAACTTACCAGGAAGCCTGGTCCCCAATGCTGGATGCTCATGATGAGTGCCAGGCCCAGCTCACAGAGGAACCCAGAGTCCTGTCACCTCACACTATTTGTGTCACAAAACAGATACAAAGGTGTCAGGGAGCCGGGGACTACACGTATTTTTGACAACACTAGTCTCGGTTAGGCAATTCATAATAATTTATTTCCTTCTCTTCTCCCCACCTATTTTGATAAAGAGTCCTGTTGTACAGCCTAGATTGGCTTCAAACTTTTGATCCTCCTGTCTCATTTCTCAAGTCCAGGTGACTTCCATGCCTGGACAGTTATTTGACTCATTAACTAAAAAGCATTTCTCCAAACAGTACCAGCTTACACGTGCACATCACCACTGGTCCTGCACTCTCCTACTGAGAACTTATCTGCAGGTATGCTTCATGGCTGTGCATACAAACAGAATGACTCATTGCAGAAGTATATCAAAATGCTGTCATCGTGAGACTGATTAAATAAATTATGGCACATTCAGACATCAAGACATAATGAGGAAACTGTGTAAGCACCATCATGGAAATGCTTCCAAGGCAGATTAAGGGAGAAGGCAAGATGCTGTGGAGTGTGTGTATACAGAGCTGCATTTGTGGATGAGAAGGGATAAGAACCCCTTTCCTAATTGTAAAGAGATTCTTGAGGTGTGTGTGTGTGAGAGAGAAGTGGTTACCTCTGTGGTGGGGGATGGGCACCAAGCCGATGAGGACCAAGGAGGAGGAGATTTTTAACCCTGCATATAATTATACTTTGTGACTTGGAACCATGTGAGTGTAGTACATAAAATAAATGTTTACTGTGGCCCTTACAATAAGAAATCTGGTTTTGGTTTTCCACGTCTGAGTGTCTTAGTGTCACCTGATCACCCTGGTGGCCTGTGGGTTCAGGTTGGGTACATGTGGAAGCCATGGTCACACCTAGTGTCTCCGCAGACATGTCACTTCAGACCAGAATGTGATTTTTGGCGTCCAAGGCTGTGGTGGAAAGACCAGTGTTGGGGTTTCTCATTGGTGGAATAAGTTTCCAAAGGTTCTGAGGTTTGGGTCCCCATCTCCAGAGCAGCTTCTAGGAAGTGGGGGTCCATCAAAGTTCTAGAAGGGAGGCATCAGCTGTTCCCGACTCACGAGGGAGGAATGGTGGTAGCGATCCCGGGTGGCAAAGTCTGTGTTCTCCTGGGTAAGCTGAGTCATTGCCATGTCTACCTTGGCTGGGGATGGTGCCAAGATGATCTGCTCCCCGGTGGACCTCAGGCTCCTTCAGTGAGGGACATAGGAAACCAAGAGAGAAGAAGCAGTGGAGATGAACACTGGAAGCCAGTCTTCCCTGGATACAGACGCTGTGCCAATGCCAGCTGTCCTGACATGTAGCATGTATTTAAATGTTTAAAACATAACTGTTGAGAACTACAACAGTCTGTGAACTCAAAGTAGGAGATACAGTGTCAAGTGACATGAGTAACATTAACTGCTCTTAAGTGGAACAGTAGAAAACTGTACTCTCTAATAAGAGACGCCCACACTAAAGACAGTGTTATGAGGGTTCCGTAACTTTTCTTTGTTCCCTTGTCAAATGAGACAATGGAACGACAAATCTGCAGAATGGAGAAGAGTGGGGAAAGAAACTAAATTGATTCATTAGGAAGGAAGTTGAGGTGTTACACAGGCTGCCGGGGAGAAAAGGTATCAATGGTATCCCTACAGCCAACCTTGCCTACTACAATACCACCTTTCATTGCAAGATGTGCCTATGGCTGCAATAGTGGCAGGAAGGTTGTGGGTGTAACCAACTGCTTTTGGATTGGATTTGGGGCCTACTCCACAGAAAGGAATTAAGGCTTAGTACCATAAACCGGCTCAAAGGTCGTGGCTTAGGAGGTTACAGGACCCAGGGAGGAACCTACCACTGTTGTTTTGCTAAAGAACATGGTGGCAATCTGCCTTGTAAGTCTATTGCTTATATACAGTAAGCAGATCAATGCTGCCCTCAACCTTAGCCAGAGAAGCTTCTCTCTGTAGTGGGCATCAGTTAATACAAAGACACATAACTGCTCAACATGCTGAGAATAAGTGTCCATTGAGCACTAAGCCCTAAATGAGACATCTGTATGAATCCTTGTCACCAAGGCTGAGGAGACATAAGGAAGAGGGGCAGAATGAAGGAACCAGGGAAGGGAGGGGTGCTGTGAAATGCTGTCCTTTGGACATGGAGTACATTCATGAACTCATTGCAGCTGGGAGGACTCACACACAATCAAGTCAACAAGATCAATGGACATTCCAGCAGGCAGCACTTACTGGGCTCAGTGCTACTACAAAAAAGGAGAGGACATGAAATGGGAAGGGGGGTTTGGTGCATGTGAGCAAGAAGATGAC